AAACATGATATCCTTCTCCAGCGGCTGGTCCCTCCTGATAATATGTCCAAAGTATAAGAGATGAAGTTTAGCCGTCCTGGCCTCCAAGGAGCACTCTGGCTTCACTTCTTCCAAAACAGATCTATTGGTTCTTTTGGCAGCCCATGACATTTTCAATATTCTCTTCCAACACCATAACTCAAAAGCATCAATTCTTCTACAGTCTTCCTTGAGTAGTCATGGTGGTTACATGCTGTGGAGTCGGTTCCAACTCATAGCGACCCTGTACAGGGTTTCCGAGGCTGTAAATCTTTACAGGAGCAGAAAGCCTCCTCTTTCTCCCATGGAACAGCTGGTAGTTTTGAACTGCTGACCTTAAGGTTTGGAGCCTGATTCGTAACCACTACACTAACAGTCTTCCTTATAGACTATTAATTCCAATATATTAGTTTATTCTTCAAGTCTTTGATTTCCATCTTTCTCTTTAGCTCTAGGCAATAAAGACTAATAGTTGTATTTTAGCTGGCCACTCAAGCTTTTAAACAGAAGACACTGACTGCTGTCAGATTAGGGTGTAGACTAGAAACTTTATGAACTATATTATGTCACTTGAATGAGTTGCCCCAAGAAACTATGACCTTAAGCCTTTGAATCCAGAAAACCACACTTGTGATATGTTGGCATGTCTAAAAAGTGTCTATGCCCCTATGCATACATATATGTATCTTCGGATGCATATGAAGTCCATACCAAATTCACTGCTGTTTAGTCTATGCTGACTCACAGTAACCCTATAGGTTGGAGTAGAACTGCCCTATAGGGTTTCCAAGGTTGTAATCTTGATGGCAGCAGATTGCCATATCTTTCTCACACAGTGTAATTAGTAGATTCAAACCACTGACCGTCCGCCTTACCAAGCATGATGTCCTTCTCCAAGGACTGGTCTCTCCTGATAATATGTCCAAAGTATTTTAGGTTTTAGTGTAGGCCTAATATCCTCTTCAAGTTAATCTGTATATGTGTTAGTGAGGTAAGCAACAAATTTTATTTTTCTGTGTATGTATATCCAATATTTCTAGTGCCATTCATCGAAAGACTTACATTTTTCCACTCAGTTCCCTTGTTCATTTGTCAATAACCAATCATCTATTCATGTTCTATACATTTGTATGGCACTCTAGGATAAGCACAGGTCTGCTAACTGCAAGCTCAGTGGTTCAGACCCACCAGGCACTCCTAGAAAACCCTATACAGGATCGCTGTGATGTTATACTCCCATAAGAATTATAGCATAGGAAATTCTGTGGAGCAATTCTATTCTGTCATATATGGTCGCTATGAGTCAAAATTGATTTGATGGCACCTAACAAAAACAACTGGTGTAGCACTGTAGGATAAGCACTGAACTGCTAACCGCAAGGTCAGAAATTCAAACCCACCAGCTGCTCCTCAGAAACCCTAAACAGGGTTGCTGTGAGTCAAAACTGACTCAATGGCACTAAACAACAACAAGAAAGTGTATTATATTGAATAATTTTCAAATGTTAAATCAACCTTAAGTTTCTGGACTGAGCCCTGCTTTACATACTCCGTTTTATGCAGGTTAACTTGTAAAATTGATGGGGTTCTGGTCCAATAATTCTGTTTTATATCTGCTCTGACATAAGTCACTTGCCTCCTTTTTTTTAGTTTAAATTACTATTGATTTTTACTATGAATATTTTTATAAATCCAATCTGTATTTGTCTTCAGGGCTTAGAAACAGTACATATAAACTTACAGATATTTTAAATACATAAAAATTTTAAATACATAAAAAATACAAAAATTATAAAAATATGCTCTAACGAAGAAGAGTTGGACAGCATTGGTATTTTGTCAGTTGATGGTAATAACTCCACTTATGTACAGTTCTGGATCATCTGAATTATCTTTGAGAATGGGGGTACCATTTCTAATCAGAAATTAATGAGGATTGTCAGTGTGGTTCTTTTTTTCCCTTCACACATTTCACATTTCATTTTACTGCTTCCTGAATCTGTCTATTTACTTTAGCAAAGTGGTTAGCGATTGGTTCATGTTTTCAATCAGCTGAAGCCCCTGTGTTAGTTTAGATGACTTCAGCTAATCTTTTCACTGTAAATCACAGCATTGAAGATCTGAGAATGATAATATCAGTAAACTGTATGCTACAGCACTGTATGTAGTTGTTGTTGCTGTGTGTTGTTGAGTTCGTTCTGACTCATAGTGACCCTGTGTAATGTTTATGGGACTCTTGATATGATGCTGTAGGATAAGCATTGGATTGCGAACTGCAAGGTTGGTAGTTCAAATCCACCAGCCACTCCTTGGATATATATATAATATATATAACCCTGTATATTTTGTGTTAACTTCTTACTGCTTCCTGAGTATGCCTACTGACTTTAGCAAAGTGATCATCAGCGTTGAGCTGGAACTGTCTCGATACTTAACAACAACAACATAGGGTTTCTGAGAGCCGTTGGTGAGTTTGAACTGCCAACTTGAAGTTAACAATCTAGTGCTTATGCTACAGCGCCACACTGCATATAGTACATACTACTCGTGATATTAAGTACATTGTGACCTTTATGGAATTTGTATAAAAAACAAAGGTACATGCGGCCCATAATAATTCAAATGTATCATAAATACCTGTATTGTTGAATTCACTTTGCTAGAATTTTATGCTCATTAGAGAACTTGGTCTGTGATGTTATT